AATATTTCCAAAGAAATAGTGTCATCATTCTTGTCTAAATAGAGCATGCTGGTTGCACGTCTAACAAAACAGAGGAAATTGGCATCTAGGCACCAGAAATTATGGATTTTTTTTAACTACAGTGCAAGAGTAGATCTTTATTTTCCCTATATCATGCTCATTCTCTCTTTTTTAGAAAACTTTGTTATATAAGAATGAACAAACAAAAGTCCTCTTCTATATTGTAATCTTTAGACTAGAAACACGTCTTGGGGGATGTAATGGACTAGAAATCATTGTACTAATTCAGTTCTCACTTCTGACACTATTACTCACATGGACAAAATAAGTAAAATATTTAAAAAAATAATACAAATGCAGAGAATGATGCAACGGCACAGAGACTGACACAGACATGATGTTCTAAGAATGGGCGACGTGGCAGCTTAACATGTGGGAACGGATCCCAAGCCCCACCAGACAGCCAGCCCCGCCGGACTGCAAGTCCTGTGTCCCTGTGGCATGCCAGCCCCGTGCCCCCACGTCAGCTAAACATCTGCAAACTGACTGAAGAACTCACACAAGACCACACAGAAGCAAGCCCTACTGGCACAAGCCATACAGCTGCAAACTTAGTGAGGCCCTTGTGTATGCCCACCTGTAAGCTAGCCCCACGAGGGGTCAACCACACATCTATCTGCAACTTGAGCAAGGTCCCATGCATCCCCACCCGGACAGGTAGCCGCTCCAGTCATGATCAAGATATCTACAAACTGAGTGAGTTCCTTACAAAGGCCCACCCAGGCAGGTAGCCCCACTGAGGGGCGTTAGTGGGCCAGTTGCAGCCCAAGTGAGATACCTGCATGTGGCATCTGAGCACATGACCACCCATCACACACTGGTACTTGTGCGTGCCCCGCCCCCTTCCCCTCAGCCTAGCATCTCTTCACATGTAGTCATTTAACTGCCTTTAGTCTGGAGCACGTTGGTCTGACTTAGCTGTAACAATTATCCAACAAAAGAGGTCATTTTCACAGGCTGTGAACAGACACTTCTTTGGTCGAGCAGTTCAGAGAGGAACATAGGCAACGTAATTATTATGCCCTCTTCTGTAGCAGTGACATTAGATCAAGAAAATATCATAACCTTAGGTATGAAAAACTCTACCATCATCATTTCTTTAATCATCATGAAAGAAACAGGCCACCTCACAAGCTACAAAAGTGCAAAGCCCCCCAAAAGTGACACAGTACCAATAGATTTACTGAAGCCAAAAAGTCTAATGGAACTTTCTGACACAGAATTTAAAAGAACAATGACTGAATATTTTCAATGGGTGAAAGACAAACTTGAAGAATTACAGGACACTACAAGCAAAAACCAGGAAGAGCTAAAATAAAAAAATCCAAAATGTGCAGATAAAACAAATGAGACATTAGAGGCTCTGAAAAAAAAACCAAGAAATTGTGATTAAAAATATGAGGTGAAATTTTTCAAATGCTGTGAACATGATGGAGGGACACATGAACAGAGTTGAAGAGATGGAACACAGAATAGGTGAAATAGAAGATAGAATTGTCACCACTGATCTGCTAGAGCAAAAAGCAGAATCAAAAAGGAAGGGGAAAGAGGAAAACCTAAGAATAATGTGGGACACAATTAAGAGAAATAACATGTGCATCATCTGAATCTCAGAACAGGAAGAAGCAAGTAAAGGCACTGAAAAAGTGGCAGAAGAATTACTTGAAGAAAACTTCCCAGGCATAATGAAGAATGAGAGAATATATATTCAGGAAGCTCAGCGAACACCATATAGATTCGACCCCAAAAGAAAAACATCAAGGCATATCATAGTTAAATTGGCCAGGACCGAAGATAAGGAGAGAATTCTAAAAACAGCAAAAGAGAAACAAAGAGTAACTTATAAGGAAGAGCAGATAAGA